GTTGGCTTGCATTTATATATCACCTACAATACAACAAAATGTTGCAAGGCACTACATTTGGAGTGCTATAATCACAAAATCTGCTACCACACTCCATTGACCTGGAAAGGATGTTTCCTCTTGTGGGTCAAACCAGAACTAGGAGGCACAGTTTTATAATTAGAGGTCCTCCTTTCAGGACAGAGATGAGGAGAATTCTTATCTCTTTCGGGGGAAGGGTGTTGTGTACTTTGAAATTCTCAGCCTCGGGAGATGGTGGAGGTGGGGATTATTGAATGCTCTAAGGCAGAGGTAGGTAGATTCTTGTTAGGCAGGAGAATCGAGGGTTATTGAAGGGAGGAGATGGAAATGTGAAATTCAAAACATAAACAGGTCAGCCGTGATCTCATTGAAGGGATGAGCAAGCTCGAGGGGCCAAATGGCCTACTTCTCCTAGTTCCTGCGTAAAAAGGTCTAGGGTCAGCTGAGCAAACGCTTGGTGAAAGAGGTAGCTGGTAATGAGTACCTTAAAGGAGTAGCAAGGTGGCAACGTTTAGGAAGGAAATTCCATAACTTGGGGCCCACACACGGCCACCTATGATGGACCGATTAAAATCATCGATGTTGAAGCGGCCACAATTAGAGGAATGGTAACGTCAATGGACGAGTAATCCAGAACCCTGGGCCGATGTTGAAGGATAGGGGTTCGAATCCCACCATGACAAATGGTGAAATATGAATTCAATAAAAGTCTGGGATAAACAGCTGGCCAATTGTGACTATCGTTTAAAAAATAGATTGTTGTAAAAATCCATCTGGGTCACCATTGGTCTTTAGGGAGGGAAATCTGCCGTCTTCACCTGGCCTGGCCTCCAGACCCACACCAAAGGTGGTTGACTCTCAGCCCTGCCCTCTGGGCAATTGGCAATGGCACCAAATCCCATGAACAAATGAAAAACAACTAATGGGGAAGACATGCTACATGTTAAAAGCTAAGTGTTAAAAATGGAACTGATTCACTGAGGGACAGAAGCAGTGATTTATGTTGCTGGACGTGACTGAGCTAAAGATAAAGGTGGCCAGATCTAAACTGCAGGAAGCAAAATTGGAATGGCATGATTCATGATCTGTTTTAAATAATGATTAGAATTGGCAATGTAGAGGCAGACCCAGCGCAATAAAAACAGGAGTTATCATTACAGCCCAGTGAGACCAGGAGCTACACTTAAAGGATGACTCATTCATGTTTACAGGTTTTCCAAAGACATTGACAGGGCTGGGAGGCCATTTCAGACTGTCTGATCACAGCAGCCTCACTGGATTTATGGGTAAACTGGAGTAAGTTATATCTAGGGCTGATGTCAGCCAACAGCATGTGATCAGGGTGGTCAACGCTTTTGCGGAAGAACTCTCATCAAACACTGATTCAACCTCAACTAGAGCATTATGTTCTATTCTGGGGACCACACTTTAGGAAGGGTGTGGAGGCATCAGAGAAGGAGCGGGAAAGAGTCACAAGAATAGTTTCATGGATGAGGGACTTGAATAACATGGATAGATTTGAGGAGTTGTCTTTTATTCATTTGGGGTAGTTGGATGAGCTGAGCTGCTCCTGCAGAGATCCAGGATTGAAATGATGGATTGAATGGCCTCCTTGTGTCCTACAACCACTCTTAAGATTTAGATTGGAGAGTCCTCGTTGACTGACTGAACGAATTAAGACGAGTCCTTTTCCCACATTCTGTCTAGCACAATAAACATGAAGTTAGACCATATATTATCTATTATGTAGCCTTTATGGCATAGGAATCAATAATGCAGTGTGAAGCCAGTGTCAAGACAAGGTTTGGACCTCCCTGTAGCAGTTTACTGAAACAGTTGGATTTAGATGATAATCTAATGATCTTTATATGGTAGTAACCTTATTTGATGGCTGCCAACAGATTCTCTGAATCGGACTCTTTGTTATGCCTTTTAGGGATTGTAGCTGGGCCATCATTTATTGTCCATCCAGATTGCTACTCAAGAACTGCAACCACTAGCTGACCACCAGGGCTGTTAACACAAAGTGCAAGCATTGCGGTAAATTCAAGAGTGTTTGAATATACATTTCAACTAGAAACTGAACACTGGTTGTGGATAATTCTAATCGACCTGTTCCAGAGACATCATTACATACCTCTGGAGCAGGTGGAACTTCAACTCAGGTCTCCTGGATCCGAGGCAGGGACATTACCACCGTACCACTCAAGCCCTCTGAATGCAACCACACACAAAAGTGGGTATAAGGATGAGGGTGGCATTGGTACCACTCTCTTTCCCCCCCACCTCATCCAGACCTCTTTATGTTTCAGAAGATGAAGTGGGAGATCGCTCAGGCAGTGTAGGCTCAGGGAACAAGCCAGACCGTACTGCACAGGAACTAACCACTCAACACCATTCTGATGCTTTTTGTAGGTATTTAGGCTCCGCACAAACCTCTGACCTTCCTTCATCTCATCCATTCTTGTGAAGGTGACTAGAAAGTAGATTCCAAATATTTTGTCATTTATGGGTAGTGTCATTGTAGCTCGCAGCTTCCACAGAACTTTGTTCATTTAATCTTCTGGAAGTTTCTTCCTTCTCCTGAACAGATGGCTCACCTAAATGCCACCACCAGTAACAGAGCTATAAATGCCTGTGATTGGCCAGCTAGGGCTGGAATCTTTGTATTTGCTTCGTTCTGACTTGTGTTTGTCCATTGATTCATCAGATCACAATCAAATGGTATCCACTGCAGAGAGTCTGCCCATTCGGCCCAAGAAATTCATGCTAACAACTCGCCCTCATGTCGCCCCTTTTAAAGGGGCAAAACTTGCCAAGCATCCTGAAGCTTTACAGGCAGGCCAACAGAGGAAGGTTGGCATCAAGTTATCTAGGTAGTGAATCAGGGAAATGGTCAACAGCTTGATTGAAGAGGTGGGTTTGAGGATAGTCTTTGAAGGAGGGAAGGTTTAAGGAGGAAATTTTCAGACATGGAGCTAGTTGGTTCAATTAAATCCTCCAATCCTCTCAATAGGTAGACAATTTCAACAGAACCATGAATAGAGATAGTAGGAACTGCAGATGCTGGAGAATCTGAGATAACAAGGTGTAGAGCTGGATGAACACAGCAGGCCAAGCAATATCAGAGGAACAGGAAGGCTGACGTTTCGGGCCTAGACCCTAGGCCTGAGGCCCGAAATGTCAGCCTTCCTGCTCAGCCTGCTGTGCTCATCTAGCTCTACACCTTGTTATCTCAGATTCTCC